GGCACCTGGATCCGAACCAGTGAACCCAGGCCGCTGAAGCAGAGCATGCGAACCTGACCGCTCTGCCACCGGGCCAGCCCCCATAAAATCTACGTATTAAAAATCTGCTTTGACAACCGTTTGCCTATGCTCCCTGACTCCAGCACACCTTCCTCCTGGCTACCACACATTGTTCTGTAAAGAACTCCCGTAAAGAACATCCCCGAAGCCTAAAGGATGATCTAAAATCCAGCAGTTCTCGAAGCGTGGTCGTTAGACCAGCAGCTGCAGCAGCACCTAGGAATTTGTCAGAAATGCAGGGTCTCAGGCCCCGCCCAGACCTGCTGAATCGGAACCCCTCCTGGTGGGGCCCAGCAAGCCAGGTTTTACCAAGCTTTCCAGGGGATTCTGATGCCCTGGTCCCTGTCATAAGAGGCCCACCATGATCTCCGGTTACACTTTTCATCCCTCCCTTCAACATCCTCTACCTCAGCCCCCCCAACCCCAGCTAAATAGTACCCCCACTGGCCAAGCACCCCTGCACCCTGGCTGTGGCGTGTCTTTGCTGCCCCATGTCCACTTGCTTTGCTCCTGCTCATCATCTTTGTAACTCAGCTCACATGCTCTAGGACGTTGGCTTCCAAATCCACTGGGTCAGAATATAGGGGAACTTTAAAATCGTGGAAACCTCAGCCCCAGGAGGTCCGCAAAGAGTAAGAACCTCCCAGTCCTGCCCAGCTCTGTGCCCCAGCACTGAGCCCCATGCCTGCAGTAGCCAGTATTGTGCGCTGAGCAGTGGCGGGATGCACGAACAGCTGCAGGAGGCTGGGCTCCAAGGAGAGGCTGAGGGTGAGGAGGCCCTACCTTCGGCACCTGCAGGCAGCGAATGAGAGCGTTTATCACCACAGAGGGCTCGGTGGTGGCCTTCTCTGTGATTATCACCGAGGCCAGCGTCTTCCGCATGTCAGGCCCTGCCCCGGCAGTGTCCATCTTTGCTGACTCGCTGTCCATGATGTTGAGGAGGTTCGTGACTTGTTGGAATGTACCTGAGACAAGGTGGCACAGGTGCGGTGCTGAGATGGCCGTGACAGAAGGTGTCCCTTGTACCTCAGCCTCCCCAATGCCTGCACAGCCCTAGCTGCACCTGTGGGACGATTGGGCAGGGAACTTCCTGTCCACTGGACAAATGGAGAAACTGAGACCTCAGCTGGGACTTGTCCTCGAGGAATTAGCGACCAGGACGGGTCAGGAATGCAGGAAGAGGGGTTGACTTTCTTACCACCGTTATCTGGCGCCAGAGGTCCCAGGTCCTCTCTTTTCTCTGATGGGTCCTCCTCTGAGTCTATTGTTGCTTCTGCCATCTCTTCCTCAAGCTCTTTCGAAATCAACAAGATTTTTTAAATAGTTGGGGTGTCAACCTACCCTAAGACAACCCCCGATGAGTCACACCCTGCATAATCCTCTCCCCCGGTGCAGGGACAGAAGCCATGACTTGGGTTAGACCCAAATTCTAACCAACGGAATATGGCAAAGGAGATGGGAACCCACTCCCTATGTCATATAAGACTCCATCTTGGCAGGCTAGAGAGAGATGCTCCCGCTGGCCTTGAAAAGTAAACAGCCAGGACACGAACTGCCTATGGAGTGCGCCAAGCGGCATCCGGGTGAGGGCCTCAGTGCTGTAACCACAAGGAGCTGAATTCTGCCAACAGCCACATGAGCTTGGATGAAGACCAAGCTCCACACAGGATGTAGCTAACCAATACCTGAGTGAAGCCTGTGAGAGCCCGAGCAAAGGAGCCCGCTAAGCCAGGCCCAGACCCCCGACCCATGGGAACTGCGAGGTAATAAATGGCTTTTGTTCTGAGCACTAAGTTTCTGGTCATTTGTTACAGAGAAATAGTTAAAAAGTGTTAACACACTTGGTTAAGAAGGGCCCCCCCACCCTCTTTTCTAGACACTGAAAATGAATGACGACTGAGAAATCCACCTCAGCAGTTCTCCTCTCTGCTTTCCTGGGGCTCTCTCAACAGCAGCAGCACCCTAAGGGCTGACAAACGCCAACACAGATGTCAAGATGGAGGATCAAAAGTGCCTGGATCCTTTTTCCTTCTGTTTCAAACCCCTCATCCTCAAACCTTCACCGTCCCGGGGCCCTGCACCATCCTGTGCTCTTTCCCTCCTGGGAACCCTTTAAAGATCTACCTGGGACCTAAATACTGACCTTTTCTCAGAGTCCTCTCCTGGATGGAACAAAAATACACCACAAGAGGAGGCTTCGTTCTTTGCCCAATACACATCAATGGTAATGTGGGCAACAGCAGGAGGGGGTGACAAAGAAGTGAGAGGGTCGGGCTCCTCAGTCGTAACTCAGGTGAGGAATGGGTCTCCTGGCGGGGTGGGTGGGCTTCTTTAGAATCATCACCGTTAGGTCCCAGACCCTTGGAACTTTGAGATCCAACTGCCTCTCTGAGTCTCTATCAACTGAGGGCTTTGAGGAGTGCACAGGGCCCTGGGATAAAAACCCCACATTATGCTGTCATTGAACATTTCTGTTACCCACATGTGTGGCCTGTTTGGGAAAGGGAAAAGGTGGGAGGGGGTGATTCACAGCCAAGTCCCCTGGGGATGTGGTCGTAGGAGCCCAGGATGGGGAAGTGTGGTCAGGGCAGCTGGAGCAGTGAGGGTGACAGAGGGGTCCTAGGAAGACAACTCCTCCCCACGGACTGGATGACTTGCAGGGGAAGGGGGTTCTCACTGGCAGAATATTTAGAAGGTAAAGAACCTCACAGATAGGTAAGAGGGCAGGAACCTTGTTTCCCTGAACCAAAAGTGGGGCCCAGAGGACTCCCCTGCCACTTGTAGCTGGGAGAGACAGCCCAGATCAACAGTTTGAGCAATGAAATACTGGCCTTTGGAAACCTTCCTATGCATTACAGAGCGACAGAACAAGAGCCAGAGCCAACTAGGTCCAAGACTCCTTAGTTAGTTCCCAAAGTGTGCCCACCCTGCCAAGAGGGAGTCCCTCGGCCTCTGCTTGGACACCACCGATCCTAGGAAGCTCATTACCCTCAGTAGCCCATTTCTACTTCATTGGATATGAGTGGTTAGACAATGAGTTTGCTCTACATGGTGCTGAATGCCTCTTCCCCATAACATCCATACACAGTTCCCTCACTCTGCCCTTTGGAGACATGTTGACTGATAAGGAATGGACACAAGAAAGCAGTTATCGCATGCCCCTTCCTCCACATCTCCCTCTGCCCTGCCTCCTCCCACTCCCTGCTGGGCCTTCTTTTCTCTTTCAAAGATTATTCAAGTTATGTGGTTACAGTTATGTTCCATAGACCCTGACTGCATGCCTGCCGTGTGCTTGAGGTGGATATAGAGGTGGGTAGGACACACCTTTGCCCTTTGAACACATGAAAGATTGTGGATTTAGGGCCAGGAGTGAATGTATCAGTTAGTCATTGCTGTGTAACAAACCACCTCAAAGCTTAATGACTGAAAACAATCATTAATTATTGTTCATGAATCTACGGGTCAGCTGAGTGGTTCTGTTGGTCTGGCCAAGCACAACTAGAGTCGCTCAAGTATCTGTGGTCAGCTGGTAGGCTGGGTGAGGGCTGGCTTGTCTATGGCTTCATACACTTTTCTGGCAGTTGGCTAGCTACCGGGTGAAGTGACTAGGGTGACAAGGACACGTGTCTCTCACCGTGCAGCAGGGCTAGCCCAGGCTGTTCTCACAGCAGCTGGATGGGGCTCCAAGAGAGCGAGCAGAAACATGACTTGGAACAGGCACCCATCACCTCTGCCACATTCTGTCAGCCAAGGCAGGGCACAGGCCAGCCAGGACTCAACAGGTGGGGAAACAGATGCCCCCTCTTGTTGGTAAGAGCTACAAAGACACATTGTGAGGGACATGGCTATCAGCAGGGGTGGAGAAAGGGGTCATTTTTTATTACACACGTGATGAGCGTGTAAGCCACAGGAAAAAGTGAGATGCCCTCAACACTTGTCTGGAGAAGACACTAAGATGATGAGATTGAGGAGAGTAAAGTGGGCTCTGCTTGCTTTTCCAAAATGAAAATACTTTCCATTCTTTCTTAGATTATGGCAACAATATTTGTATGCTTTTTTCTTTCTTTCTGTTTTTTTTTTTTTTTTTTTTTGGTGAGGAAGATTGGCCCTGAGGTAACATCCGTTACCAATCTTCCTCTTTTTGCTTGAGGAAGATCAGCCCCGAGCTAACATCTATGCCAATCTTCCTCTATTTTATGTGGGATGCTGCCACAGTGTGGCTTGATGAGTGGTGCTAGGTCCATGCCCAGGATCCGAACCAGCGAACCCCAGGCCACCAAAGCGGAGCTTGTGAACTTAACCACCACACCCATGGGCTGGCCCCATGTAATGAGGCCTTTTTCACAAAAGAAAATAAAAGTGAATTCACCCAGAAGTGGTGTTTAAATATATCCTGGTATATCCATGCAATAGATACTTCTTGGCCACTAAAAACAAATTAAATGTTACGCAAAAGCCTGGGGAGAACATTTCCGATAGACTGAAGTGGAAAAAGAATGTGAGAAAACTAGATATATTTGGTATAGCTGCAATACTTTATAAATATATGCATTTGCCAAAATAGTTATGTGGTTATTTCTGAGGAACATGGTTCCTAGAGATTTCTATTTTCTTGTGTATGTGTGCACGTCTATATTTTTCAAATTGTCTGTCATAACCGTGCATCGCTTTCGTAATTAGAACACGGAGGTTAACAACAATAAATGCAACAGCAATGAAGAGAAGAACACCTAAGACATAGAATTTACATGAATTTATTAATATGTTTTTAGTTGCAAGAAACAGAGAAAATATACATGCCAGACACTATATTTGGGGCTTTTATCAAATTCAGATCCTTTTGGCACAAGAGATGAAGCAATGGTTATCCTCTCAAACACCACCCATCAATTTTCTATATCATTCTTTTCCCCCAAAGTTAGAAACCATACACTCTTCTCGAAGGACTCTACATTGCTCGTTTATTTCAAGTGCAAGGAGCTATGCCCTACAGGAATAAACATATCCTTTTTTAAACACACAAGTGACATCTGTGAAGCATGAGCATAAATTAGGATCTGCCATCATTGATGAAGGAATTGATCACAACAGTCTACGGAAGCCAGAGGATGATGTTAGAATCAGCATCCAAGGTGGGGGTGCCGTGGGACCACCTCTGAAACCCGCGCTCCCAAACAGGCCCTACCTGAGTAAGAAAAGCAATGCAGGATGAAGGAGGACCTGTCCATCCTCTTGGCAAGTCACTTGAAAGATGACAAGAGAGTCCAGATTAAAGATATTGGAAGAAGCAGAAAGCATATTCAAATATCTCTCTCTATAGGCGTGACTAGCAATTAGATTGTTTTCATTTTTAAAAACACTGGGGTGTTTAACTTATGGCTCAGTATTTCTTGAATAAGCAAAACATGAATTTCACACTGACCCCATTTGCAAGTTTGGTTCACTTCCCACCCACTTCTCACTGTGTCTTGGATTTGTGGGACTTCTTAACTCGCCCTTTTTTCCCAAAGAACTTCCGGAAGCCGAAGGCACAAGATTTATAGACGATGAAGGCGACTCCCAGCACGACGGCCAGGAGGAAGCCGATCACGTCCAAAGAGTGGTACTGGTACCACGTGAGGTCGTGGGCTGCAGGGCGCAGGTGCGGGGCCCCCTTGTGCCTCATCACGAACTCCACCCAGAACACGGCCAGGTCCAGTGGCTCCACGGGGCGGTCCTTGTGAAGGCTGGAGAGGCGCATGATGTTTTCCTTATAGCTAAACACAAAGACAGTTCTGCGAATGCCTGGAACTCCAACAGGAGTAAACTATCCCCTCTCTATGCTCGCTTCTGGTTAGGAACCACCAAATTTTCCAAACTCGGTAGAGCAAATGTGTTTCTATTATAGTCAGAAAAGAAAACACACACAGTAAATGTTCTTTATCTCTAAAAAAAATTGGAAGCCAAAATTCTAATTTTAAATTAGTTGAAATTTGCTTCCTACATTCTTCTTTTCTTTTCTTTCTTTTTTTTTTTTTTTTAGGAAGATTAGCCCTGAGCTAACTGCTACCAGTCCTCCTCTCTTTGCTGAGGAAGACTGGCCCTGAGCTAACATCCGTGCCCATCTTCCTCTACTTTATATGTGGAATGCCTACCACAGCATGGCTTGCCAAGTGGTGCCATGTCCGCACCCGGGATCCGAACCAGCAAACCCCGGGCCACAGAAGTGGAATGTGCACACTTAACCACTGCACCACTGGGCCAGCCCCCTCTTCTTTTCTTTTTTAGTGATATTTTTGTAGGAAATTAGATTATACTTTCTTTATAATAAGATAAAGAAATAAATGAAAAGGTCATGTCAGAAATTATGAACAGTTTTCCATGCGAAGTTGTAAACAATCACAACTAGTCAAGTAAAAGCTATTTTTAAGTGCTGTCTCCAAGATGGTGGCATACGTTCAATTCAATTACTGAAACATCAAGCCATCTAAGTGCTAAATTTAGCATGAAGCTGTGTCTATGCAGCCTGTTAAACAAAATGGATTTCTGTTTATTTTGGACAGTGTTGACGTCTGAATCAGAATCTGAAAGCTGAATCCTTAAACATGTCTGCCATTTTACTTGGATATATTATTGTAAGGTAATATGAATATGTGGCTATAAATATTGTTAAACATCTTCCTTTTATACATTTCTCTTAAGCAAGATGGATTTTCTGGACACTTGCTGTCATTCATCCAGTACCTATCAAGCACCTGTTATGGCCTGGTTGCATAATCTGAAGTTTGAAATTTTTCCATTTCTCTTTATTCTATGTAGGTGCAGTCCCTGCTGAGAGTGTTGAGAACACGGAGATTCACAATCAGATAGAGAAGGCTCAAAAATGAATAGACGAATTTAGTTAATAACTTAAGTTGATTGGTTAGTGTTTTTTAAAAAATAATAAAGCACAGAGAACTTCTACCAAGTCATTTTTAGGTTACAAGTGGTTGTCTCTACCACCGAACAAAAGATCAAAATTATATTACTAACGTGAACCTCAAGAACGAGTTTCATGAGCACACGGAAGGAAGTTGGGTTTTAATTGTATTGATGTGTGAGCAGCACAGCCCAACGCTGACAAGCCGGGCTGTCAGCAGAGGCCAACTGGAATGAAGGTGGAGAACACCACCAGTTGCTCTGGGCGGGTTGTTACCCTGGGTTGGTTATGTGGACCTTTGTTTTTTATCCGTTGGCACCACACACATGTGAGCACCATCACTTCACCCCCATCTTCCCTTGTCCAGTCTTGGCGTGTCCCCCTGCGTAGTGTCTCCTCCCATATCAACACGCTCCAGTCTTCACACATCTGTACTCCTGCCTGGTGTCTCTTTTGAAATGAAGCAACTACAAATGAGGCTCCTGACACTCTTGTAGACACACACACATGCACACGTACTCACATGCACACACATGCTCATACGCGCACTCTCACATTATTAATTGTTGGATGAAGTCCACCACTGGCCATCACTTCTTCCCATAAGGTTTTGATCAGCCTATTACTAGTGAGCTTAACGGGAATACAATACATTTTATGCAGAAGTCATTCAATCTGATGACTTTTGCCTTTTGAATCATTTTCAGAGCTATATTTGAACAAACTTGGCTTTGCTTTTATTAGAAGCCTTTGCCTGTGATATCATATGACGCCCCCCCCCCCACTCCATTTATAAATCCCATGGACAAAATTCCTCATAGGTTTAAGTGCTGGGAAAAACTGTACTTCCACGAGCCCGGTTTGTTTTGATCTTACAGACACTCTGCTTCTTGGAATATTTCTCTCTTTACAAGAAGTTATAGATCAGACATCTATTATGGTGACTTTTTTAATAAATTGAAGTTTTAAATCTATTACGGGAGATAATATTTAAAATAATTTCTATGATAAATTCTATAGGAATTAAAGCATCCTTTCACAAAATGAATAATAATAACCCCCAAATCATCTTCCTTATAAATTCGATTTTTAGGTATTTGTTTTCACATTTGAATATTTATTGTGAATGCAATGGCCAAAATATGGGTAGTATTCCTCTGTACCTTCTCTCTTACCTTTTGTCATTGATGACAGTTTTTAGGGCATTTGCTAAATCATCAGAAGTCATTTCCAGGACGTTCAAGGACACTCCAGCTCCCCGGGTCTCCATGCGCTTTGCATTGTCCATCTGATCACCAAACAAGGGCATCATGACCATTGGAACGCCATTGCAGATTCCTTCATATACACCATGGGAGCCAGAATGTGTAATAAAGGCACGAGTCTTCGGGTGACCTGAGAAGCAAAAAAGGAGGGACACTGGTGGTCAAGTCGCTGAGTTTCACGATCTGATACTGTCTAGGTTCTGAAAGCCCTCTAAGGACTCAGTGCTATCCACAGTTGGCCCTTGCAGAAGTTTGCAGAAGAAAATGTGCATTGAGATGCCCCACTAGGTAAAAAGCAATGTGGGCTACATTGGCCATATGTTTTCCAGCTAAACAATCCTTTAGAACAGCCATACCTAAGCCACTTTCTTAATTTAACCTCATTTGACCCACACATCAAATCCTCCCCACGTACCAAGCAGATCATTTTGGGGCAGCCACTTGACGAGTATTGTGTTCTTCGAAAGATTTGGTGGTGGAGTTCCAGTGTACCGCCACAGGACCTTGCGGAGACAAGAACAGAGTTTAAAGAACATAATATGATTTTAAAACAAAACATCTGCTGTAATAGCTGGAAAGTGGAGTCCTCTGAACGAACCTAATCTTGGCAGGGGTGGGAAGTGTAGTGAGTAAGAAGGCTTCCAGGGGCTGGCAACGTTCTGTGATTTTGTGGAAATTCCTCAAGACGTGCATTTATGACTTTTGTACTTTCCTGAACTTGAAAGGAAAGTTTACTAATAAAATGAGTGGACGTAGAACTATAAAAGCAGATATATAAGAAATAAATCCAGTTGTCCTCACCAACAACTTTTTGGAGAAATATTCCTATTTAATATGAAGAAACACTATCCTGTTTATTTTCTTTTTTTAAAATAAGTTCTCCTTAATTCTCTTTTGAGTCTCTTAGAGAAAATGAGACCTCCAAGGGAAGTGGACCACGGTTGAACATAGTAGCTGGAGTAAAATTGCAAAAAGAAGACTTTTGCTTTAATAATTGGCAAGTAGAAGGGAAAACCCAAGTCTAAAGTCCAACTAATGGAATTAACTTAGATACTGGAAGTCTGGGGTGAGAACTCTTGTGACGATAGATATAAAGGAATGGTGTAGAATCTTCCTTACTGTCTGAGGTATTTTTCCCAAAGCATCAGCAATTTCCATCGCTTTCTTCTCCGGAATCTCTGAGACCATGGAGCCCAAAGAGAAAACCACAATTCCATGTTCTCCAGAAGCATTGACATAGGCTTCAAACTCCTAGGACCAAAAAACAAATTTCCAGTTAATTTTTTTCTCATGTTTTTTGGTGACTGCATACATTAAGCTGTGAATCAGATAGGTTTCTCTTAAGAATGTGATTAAAGGGTGTGTGTGTGTGTGTGTGTATGTAACAGAGACACAAAGTATTAGTGTATGTTACAGCACTTCTCTCTCCCTTACTCCCTTCCAAAGAAGGAAGGATCTTGCTTACAGGGTTATCTGTTGGGTTCTTCTTGGAGATGCAGAATCCACAGAATGTGCTAATTTTCCAAAAGAAAAGCAGAGAGAAGACCAGATCCACTTCCCCAGGGCTGCAGGCAGCTGGGAAGGTCTTGGGAGAAAGCTGGCTTTTGCGAAGGCGGTTGAAGGAGAAAGCAGATGGCAGTGAGGAAGGAGGGAAGAAAGGTGAATGATCATCATGGAGTGAAGCGAGAGCCTTTTAGCAGACGCTGTGAAAGGGAAAATTGGGGGAGAGGAAAGCTGTCCAAAGAGGATTTCAGAAAGCTTTCTATGGACTCTCAAACCCCTGCACTGCCCCTTTAAGAAAATCTACAGTAAAGATCTGTATTACTTTTCAAGGCTTCTGGAATATTCTTTTTATGTTGAAAGAACGCATAGAGTCAAAGCACAAAGCTCCAGAGAGTGTTAAGGATTAGGCTCACAATTAAGGAAAAACCTCAAATAGCAGACAATCTTTAACAACTCTTGCTTCCCTGCGGCCTGGAGCAGTCTTCCGTATGGCAGCCAATATTCTTGGATGACTCAAGACCACATTCACGTCAACTCAGTGCTGAAATTTAACCAGTCAACCTTGCATTTTTCCACCTTTCCTGGAGGAGAGCTTTCTATAGAGTGCAAGCCAACTTTCCTGCTTTAGCAAGAAGAATATACAGAAATATATTTGAATCTTCCTTTGCTGGTTCCATAATGTACTGTAAAAAGCAAAATATTCCTCCCAAGGTTTGACAGATACAAAACGGGTGACAGAAACCCTTGCTTAGTGGGTACCAGTGACCTGAGCCCCTTCTGTGGAGTTCAGAGAAGGTCAAGGGCATATGAGTAAACCAAAGCCACTGGTAGGAAGGATAGACAGGCACTGAGTCTCAACCCACCCAGCGTATGACCTTCACAGAGTGCTCTGTCCTGTTCTAGCAGCTGATTCCTTCTAGCAATATGTCCATCACCGTCATCCAAGGAAGACCGCACCTGTAAGGCCACTCCCCTGTCTCAGGAGGCCCCCAACAAAGACCGCCTGTGGGCATTACAGCCTTGGCTCTTCAAGGACAAAGCTCAAGATGAGGCAATGGGACTTGCCTCTGAAGGAACTCCTGGGCCAGATGACCCAAGGAATAAGGAAGGAAGAACAGGGAGGGGGCTGTGTGACAAGCCCTCTATAGATGACAGCAGATGGTCCCCTCTGCCTGCAAGACAGATCACTAGAAAACTGGGGGGCTGTGTTGATTCAAAGTCCTTCATACTGCTAATGGTATCCTGTTGCCATTAAGCGACCTTTTTTTACCAAGAAGTAATTTTTTTAATTGAGTGAGTTTTAGTATATTTGAACTGTAAACTGAGTGATTTTCTAGTTAATAATGAATGTTACAAATGCTAGAAAAAAGCAATCTGTGGTTCCCTTGGATGGAGGAGGAGGATGGGATTTTAGAAACTGTGTGTGTGTACAGGGGTGAGAAACAGTGATGGCAGGGATCCCAACCAGTAAGCACAGATTACAGATTACGACCTACCAAAGGCCCATCCCTAAAGCAATAAGGAATAGACTTTAGAGATGGACGTCAAACAAAAGGTCTGAAAGGATGCACTAGAAAGAAAATTCCGTCAAAAGAAGAGCAGCATTAGCTGCGGTGTTGACACATGGAAACCTGGAAATAAGAGTGGTGGGAGTGTCCCCAGGAAGAGAGTAAGGAAGCCCCTAGATTCGACCCTTGGCAATAATCTTAGCTCAGTCTGTTCTGTCCCCAACCTTCATAGCCATCTCCAGAGTGTTCCAGTCCACAGGAAAGGTCCACTTGCACACCCACACAGTGGTAATTCCACTTGGAGGAAGTAGAGTAATAGAGTTAGGCATAAGTATGCCGATTCTCCCTCAACTATAGGTTATTGGTGATCTAATTAACTCCCAAATGGCTTTATATGCTTTCAAAGAATGCCAAGGGCATTAAGGAGACTGTGTGATGTGGCAGCCTTTGCCTAGAACTGAGGGGTCTCCTGGGACACCAGACTTTCAGTGTTAAAACCTGAACAGTCCTGGACAAACCAGGACATTGGTCACCCTAGATGAGAGGCACAGGAGACTTCCAACAACGCTCAGCACACATGATTTTAAGAGACTTCTGCCAAGCTTAATTCTAGGGGTGACCAGTAAAGCCCAAATACCGACCAGCCCACTGTCTAGTCCACCCCACCAGTCCCAGGCCCTCTGGCTGAAGCAGCTGTGTCTTAGCCTTTTCCATTGGGCTCATCTGAAAGGTCAGGGAGGCCAGCGTCATCCTCCCCATCATCACCCTGCATTTTTGGTTTGTGGCAAGAACATCCTGAGGATGGTTTTTCCGAGGTCCTTCCTCCCTAGGATCTGCACCACATCTCTCTTTCCTGGGGAGAGACGGCTCATCTCCAAGTATTAAGTTCTTTCTCCTGAGTGAAGGTACACGGCTCACCTGAATTTCCTAGGACCTTTGCTCCTTCATGAAACCCACTCTTGTGTTTAACCTTGTCTGGAAAGGACCACACCTAATTTCCCCTCCTTGCACGCCATTCCACACCCACTCAGCAACCAGCAGTGTATGATTAACACAAAATCGAACCCACAGGTCCATAAACATCCAACGTTAAATAACAGCACTTAGCTAGCTAAAGTTTACATAGCACGAAAGTTTACCGACAGATCACAGCAGGGCAAACTTCAGAGATTGTGTTAGCATGGCCAACGCCCAGCTCTGGGCCAGCTCTTATGGGATAATGGTGAGGTTACCCGCTACAATAGTACTTACTATTACTATTACTAGGTAATAGTAGTTACCCGCTACTTGGCAAAACTTGCCCCAAACCTTGCTCGACTTCACAGACTCTGGAACGGCCAAAGAGTGAAGCAACGTGTTAACTGAAAGTAATCCTCGATCCCCCACCTCTTACCCTCTTCCAAAAAGATGGGACCCCTCTGAAGTGAAAGAAATGGCCCGCTCCAATGAGGCCCTTAATATGGACACTAGGTTTTGCTGAGACTTTAGTATTTTTAGTTCCAAGCTTTCATTAGATTTTTCCCTCTCAAATGTCTTTTGTTTCTCCAAGAACCTTACTAAGCCCTTAGACAGGTTTTTGGAAACATGTCGCCTTATCTTATGCATTCAGAGCCACCTGCAAACACGGCCAGGTTCCCCATCACCAGGCTTTCTTCTCCTCGTCATCTTCAGGTGTCTGTTCTCAATGATCTTCTGTCTGGCTATTTCCCTCAGACTCAAGATGTATGTCTGGATATCATCTCTGAATCTCTACATATCCACAGAGATCTCTCACCCCGAGAGAGGATTGACATCTTGAAATTCTTAAGGTTCATTCCTGCTCTCAGTGATGCTCTACCATCTTTTGTCTTGCAGGCATCCCAAAGACAGATCCAACACCGGGCTGTGCCTTCTCTAGGGGCTCTCTTTATCAAATAAAGATTCTACCTTTATTCTTGAAGTTCAGGACTTTTCCCAAGAGCATTGGGAAGGGGATGATCTCCACTGGAGGAATGGAAGTGGAGAGTAGAATTTTTTAATTAACAAAGGGAAAAAAAGAAAATAAAGAGCAACTTGACATCCAAGCGAAAGTCAGGAAAAAGAAAGATGATGAAGCAAAATAAAAATAAAATAAATTAAAAGTGTTATAATCAAATCAATCAGTTGTTACATTAAGTGCAAACAGGCAAAATTCACCTACGAAAGGAATCTGCCTGACCAGGTTAAACGTATCAGTTCCACATTGTTTGAAAAGAAAGAAGAAAGCTTGAAGACAAAGGAAGTATACTAGGGAAATATAAACAAAAATAATGCAGGAATGGTGATATTAATATCAAAAAAGTGGAATCTGGGGAGCTGGCCCCATGGCCTACTGGTTAAGTTCAGTGCGATCATCTTTGGCAGCCCAGGTTTGGTTTCCAAGCCTGGACCTACACCACTCATCGGGGGCCATGCTGTGGCAGCATCCCACATACAGCATAGAGGAAGAGTAGCAACAGATGTTAGCTCTGAGTAAATCTTTCCCAGCAAAAAAAAAGAGAAAGAGAGATCTATTATCTTTAAAAAAAAAAAAAAGTATGACTGTGACATTGATATTAAAAAAAAAACAGATATAATACTTAGAACTGGAGCAATATCTACAACACATGACTGATAAATAAGCAATGAGGATATATTATTACTTTTTTTATAAAACAAGCAACAAAAAATTTTATACCTGTACATATATTTGTACATAATTGTAGGAGTATAAAGAATTGTTGGGGGTTACTACCTAACCAGTGACTAGTCCTCAGTTCATACCCCCTTCTTTTCATTCATTCATTTAACAAATATTTGGTGAGTGTCAATTACACGTCTTAGATGCTGATATTTACAGGACACCAATCACATGCAGATCCATTGCCAGGTCCCCAGCCAAAGTGGTCCCTGCCCCCGAATATATGGAAGAGACAGTCAATAAACAACTCTCTAAAGGAAACAATCACTGTATTTGATATGCTTTGAAGGAAATAGCACAGGATGCTGTCTTAGAGGAAAGGATTCCCTGAGGAAGTGACTTTGAAGCTGACCTGAAAAATGAGAAGACAACTGCTACCTAAGAAATTCAGGGAACAGCATCCCAGAAAGAGAGAACAGTATGTTCAAGGGTGCTGAACGGGGAAAGATTTTGAGATGTCCCAGGAATAGGGAAAAGGCCAGTGTAACTGAGGATGTCCATGTGGATTTATAGATAAGCCCTTCCATTTATAATGGAATTACCATTATGTATGCACGCCTCCACAGTTTTAAATTTCAAACTGAATGTGAAACATAATTGTTTCCTCTTAGATCCTTAACAGTGATGCCCAAAATATTTCTCTTTAATGTCTCTCTAGCTTGCACATGTTGACTGGCTTTCTTTCCTTTGATCTGAGATGTGCCCACTGATTTGGTAATATTTCATCTCTTCCTTTTCCTCTATCTGAAAGAGAATCAATAATCATTTTCTATGCCTTTAGGTTTTCTAATTTTGCTTTCAGAAAATCAACACCACCTCCTTCTTTATTAACCAGGCCACCCCATCAAACACATACTTGTCCAATAGGCCATGGGGTATCAGAATCTTATAGCTGGAAGACCTGTGAGGGGTCATCAGATCCCTCTCTACATTTTAAGGGAGGAATCAGAGCCCCAGAGAGGAGAGCCTGTCATGTGGCAGTGAGTGGAGGTGTCAACTCAACCCCAAAGTTCTTTCTGTCGCCCAAAGTTTCTCCTTGCCATGACAATTACATGATCATTGAGAATATGAACCACTTTGGTGGCACACTGGAAGTAAGACTCAACACTCCCCAAGGGTAATGACAATCCCTTAGTAAGAGCCAGACTCAGCACCTGGAAGGTGCCTTGGCTACCAGCAGGTCCTCAAACAACACTCGAATAAATTAGTAAACGCCCACTGAAATGTCACCTCCTCGGAGAATCCTTTCACCCCCCTTCTAACGGAGGCTCTCATGCTATTCCCTATCCCCTCTGTGGAAATTTTCAAGAGGATATGAATGCTACTTTTTTGCATACCTCAAATTCTTTAAGGGGAAATAAATGAACAGACGAGCATTGCAGAAACTAAGACTCAGGATCTTTTCTGCCCAATGTCAGAACCCGGCTGGCAGGTTATTTAACTATTAAAGAGAAGGTACCGCAGGAGCCAGCTTCTTATTGGAATATCTAGAAACTGGAACTTTAACCAGGAACATAAAGGCAACTTTCTCTGCCAGGATCCATAAATGTCAAAGAATTCTTTCAGCAACCTTGAATCTCCCATGCCTGACCCAGTCCAGGGCAAGGTGCGTGCTGCACCCAGTTCTCTGTGCTTATGCCATATAACCCTTCGCATCTAATTGATTACTAGCTACTGGCACACACAGAATAAACTGTCCAAAGTATACGTTCTTAAAGTGCCAGCTACAAAGAAATGACCCAGGAGACGATATCAAAGACAGATATAAATGACAACTCAGACCTAGGAGACTTGAGAGATAAGAATGAACGGAAAAGGGCATTTGAAACTATCTCAGCGTGCTCGTTCAGCATATATCTGGGGCAACCTCATCTAGCCAAAGTATTCACAAGATAAGCGTGTAAAGTTCCCACCCAAATACACACCTTGGATAGTGGTTTTTTGCTCACACAGTTGATCCCACCAATAAAAACCATATTGGGCATGATGGGCTTGGGGTAATCCTTGACAAAGTCACCTCTGAGAAGCCAGACAGACGCAGAGCTCATAAGGTCCTGGACAGTCACGTCTTTCTGAAGGATTTCGGAGGCAAGTGGCGCATACGGGGAATAAACCACACTGCACAGAGAGCTCTCTACCAAAGCAATGAGCATGTTCTTCACCCGCTGCAGGAAGGTCATGTGATCTGAGTTAGAGGACAGAGATCTGGGCACATAGGACGGTGGGTTGGGGCACTGGGTACCCTGAAAGTCCAGGCTGCACGGCAGTGCATTCAAGAAGAACACAACAGGCACAGCCAGGTACTGGGCCACGATGGGGCCGCAAGGAAGGAATGGGTCTGTCAACACCAGGTCGAAGCTGCTTTCCACCAGGGAGGTCATCACCTCGTTGTTGTGCAGTAAATGGGAGCAGGAAGACAAAAGCAGAGCTGAATCCTCTTTGACTTTCTTGTAGGTTTTGACCACACGCCGCAGGAAAGGATCATTCTCAAAAACACTATGCCCGAGACTGATAAAAGTCGCTTCGAAGTCCTCCCTTCGGAAAGGCACGGGGTACCTCTTCAAGGTATAAAACGCTCCTTCCTTAATGTATACGGAGGCGTCAGGCGCTAGGACCACTATATTGTGTCCCCTCTGCTGCAGCTGCTGGAGGACCCCGACCAAGCTCAGCCAGTGGCTGCCGTCTATTGGGACCAACAATACTTTCCCGGCCTGCAACACAGCGGGGCCCAGCACACACAATAGCAGGCCTAGGACAAGCAGACGTGGACCCTGGGACCCCGCTGCCATGGCGTCCTGGCCTTTGCTACCAGACTTTGACTAGCCAGAAGTTTGCCGTCTCCCACTTAACACGTTCTAAGAACTGATGGGACACCAAGTTAATGGTTGATTGTGTCACATGACTGCAGCTGTCAGTTGGCTAAAGGTAACAGGAAGTTTACTCATAGAAATAAAGACGGCAGGTCTTTTCCAGGTTACTTAACAGGCAAACCACACTTCAACTGGCTGGAATTCCTTATCAGTCAATAAAATCACATTTTTGATTAAATACAGAAAGCAAAGCATCTCAGCACCTTTGAATCCATTAAATTAGTATTTCCACGGACCAAGAGAGTGTTATCAGAGAGGGGAAAAGGCTATGTGGGGACGAATTAGACTTCCTTGTCACAAATGAAATAGAAAGCTGAATATGCCTTTTAGAAAGAAAAGAACATGATACTGCAAGCCTGCCTTTGGCCCATGGAAACTTCTTAGAATGTCCTTCTCTGCAGCTCACTTAGGGCTCTGCCTGAGCACTGCATCATTTCTTGATTCATTCATCCAACAAATATGTATTAAGTCCAGCACAGCACTGGGCCTGGAGGCTCCAGCAGGGACCACCGCAGATGAGTCTCCTGCCTCCTCGGAGCTCATGCTCCATCAAGACAGAGAGACTGACAATTTAAACAGATAGACACATTCAAGGTTGTGAAACATGCTAAAAAGGAAATGAATGCTGCTGGGGTGAAGAATGACAGGAAAGGGAAACCCACTTAAGGATGTGTGCACAGAAGGCCTTTCCCAGGACAGATCTGTGTTCATTCTGAGAGGAACTGAGAGAACATTCTGTAAAGAAGAAACCAAAATAGATAAGGGAACAACAGTAAGTTAAACTGTAGTCGTCATCACACAGGCCGAAGGTCAAAGGGAAAGAAGACACTTTGGGAAATTTGATGACCAGGTTAAAGGCAAAAGGGAAAGACAAACAAAGACAATAAAATTTATATGTATTTATTGAGCTTGTGCAATGTACCAAGTACGGGGCTCAACACTTCACAACACCTCTTACGTAATCCCCTAGAACTATACTTAAGGCAGATACTATTATTCCCATTTTACAGACAAAGACACTGAGGCTCATGGAGGCAAAGTGATTTGCCAGAGTCCTGCATTTACTAAGTGGCAGAGCTGAGATCCAGGCCCTGAGTGTCACAGCCCAGAGACCCTGCTCTCAAGCACAACTCCCCACGGCCTCTAGCCTGGCCCACACAATGATTTTAAGGCTGCCATCATCTGAAATTTACATCCAACTAGAAGTCAGAAGCAAAGCTATGACCCCCCACAGTCATTACTTAACCAAAATAAACGAAGACAAGGCAGATGGCAGGACTTCAGGATTACATAGAAGGTGCTCACACAGCAATACCCAGCTGGCACCCTAAAAGATCAAGTGATGAGTTGAGGAGCAAGTATGGTAGTTGCCCAAAGAAAGGGCAAATCGGAGTGCCGACAGAACTGAGCATCTCACTTTTTCCTCCTGGGATCCATTGCTATTCTATACAATCCCAAGATGAAAGCACAGATCTCAACATTTTGACCATGGACATCCCTGGCCACCCAAACTGGGGATCTATTAGGAGGATCATGGAGAATCCGTTAACTTTAAAGCTTTGGTATCCTATGGACATATTCACAGGGCCCCTCATTCTGGTACTTAGAGTAGGAACTCAGAATCCCTCTTCCCTGTACCACCATCCTCCACAGACCTCCAGTCTTGTATGTGTTGATGTAAGCGTGCACATATGTGCACGTGCTCACACACACATGCACTCTGAAGCTCCCTGCACTGACCCTACAAGCACTCTCCATCCTCCAGGATCAAGATTTGAGACGAACAGAAAAGAGGTAGCAAGGTTTTGGCTCATTGGTGTGCCCTTATCTGCAATTCTGAAATTGATAACCCAGGTTAAACATTAAGGGCAGTCATTCTTCTGAAGTCTCCACGTTATGAGCATTCCTCTGTACATTACACCGTGGAGCAAAGGGCTGTAAAACACACAGTCACCACTGTCATGACTTTATGACTTTCCTGCATCACGCAGAGCCTCAGCACTTTTTGAGGTCACTGTGCGCCTGGATGGTTTGGAGCCAAGAGTCTGCCCACAACTGGGGAATGCTGTTTACCAATCCGAACAGCAGGCAATCCACATTCACTCTCAAGAATTACGACCAAGAACCACTACTAAGTAAATTTTAAAAGCTTCTGCCATGGAACCTGAGCTGAATCCATTGCTGATGCCCCCACTCACCAAACATTTACGGGAAGTGTTGGCCCTACTGGCACTCTGCTAGGACCTAGGACCAGGAAACCAAGTTCGAAGTGGTCCCTGCCTGTCAGGAGGGCTCCAGTGGGCAAGAGACAAGCAAGCAGGCAGTTACAGGGCAGGGCGAAATGCTCTCTGGTGGAGGAGCATGGGCGGCCAAAGAAACACAGAGCAGGGCAGCAACGTCGTCTTGCTTTGGGAGCTACTGAAGAGCGGGGTGTCTGCGAGAGCATTCCTGGAACCCACGGGAAGGTAATTTCTTTTTATGCTGAAGCCAGTAGTTGGGACCCCTCTCTCCACAAATTTCTAGCTCCTTTGATGGGATTGTGTTAGAACTGCTTGTTACTCAACTCAAGGAGCTATGTAAACAAGCATATTGCCCTGTGGATAATCTATGGGACCCTCCAGGGGAAACAAAAGTGTCTTCCTGGAAGCTCTGTAGCATTGTGTTTTATTCTGCCTTGTGTCCTTTAGCAGTTTGCATATTTGCCTCTCCTGCTATGCGCTCGCTCTCTCGCTCTCTCTTGCTCTCTCGCTCTCTCTCTCCTTACAGGCAAAGCCTCAGCTTTGGAATGACTTCCTTACTCAGGCGCCAGTCCATGGTTTTGCAAACAGTAAGCACTCAGTACAGTGTCTGGATAGATGTGACTTCCCTTCTCCCTTTGCCGTAGGCCCCATATCCAAGCAAGTACTGAATCTGGATGATTCTACCACTGTCTTTCAGACTCAGCTGCCATGGTCCTGTTTCAGGGCCTCAGGCCCCATTGCCCCCAACCTCTACCTGTCCCTTATGATTCCCTGCACCAGCTGTCCCCTGCACAGCCCCAACCTACCACCACCTGTGAAACCTTGGCCAACAGCTTCCTAGGACCTAGAACAGAAATGAGACTACCCAGCCTTGCCCCTAGAACTCCCTGAAATGGACCCCAGCCCACCTGTCCAAACTTGTTCCTCTTCTCCAGCGTTTCCACAGGACCCCTCCCTCTGCCCCTCTCCCTCCAGCCATTCCAGATCACCTGTCCTTCCCAAAATACGCTTTGTACTTTCCCACAATGCTTTGTTCACACTAGACTCTACTCCTGATCAGCTTGCTACTACTGTGTATTGCATGCTTACCAAGGGCCAGGTCCAGAGCTTTATAATCAGTTGTTCAAGATGATATAAAGTCACCAGTTTATTCCGGTGAGATAGCACACCCTGTTGGATCTACTACCCTTTATGATGAAATTAAGAAAGTTCATTGGTTAATCATTTTCCTCTTAGAACTAAGTGACCTGTATTAGTGTTGCCTCAGCATTCATCAAAGCAAAGAACAGTGCTCAAGAGAGAATAAAAGGAGAAAGTGAAGTCAGATGTCAAGAAACGACAAAAGAAAAAAATCACGGTCATGACACAGCAGTTTTCATGGAACTAATCACTGTACCCCAAGTTTACCCATAGCGCTAAAAACATGGCTGGCAAGTTTTAATCGTTTTGATATGTTAGACCAGGAGTTCGCAAACTATGGGCCAGGGCACCCTGGGGAGCCCCAAAACTTTTTCGGGGGAATTTTGCAAAGTAAAAACTATTTCCATAATAGTGATACTTGACTTTTTCACTCTCATTCTCTCCTACGTGTACGGTTGAGTTTCCCAGTGGCTCCGCAACATGTGATGCAGCAACAGATTGAAGGCAGACTCAGATATGAGAAACCAGTTCTCTTCTGTTAAGCCAGAGAGATGCAAAAATTATAAAACAATGCCACTCTTCACTAAATTTTTTCATTTTGAAGAATTGTTATTTCTCCATAAAAATATTATGTTAGCGTGTAACAGGTTTATTTTTACTATTAAATTGACTAATGAATTTCTGTGTTTTAATTTCTAAAGGAGTAAGTATTGATACCTAGAACCCACACAATCAAAAGCAAATGGGTCCTGAGGCCAAAAGTTGGAGCACTGCTGACCCAGACAAATGACACACCTGACCTTCAGCCCAGGGTCAGGCTAAACACGCTCACATCACCATACCCCTACCCGAGAGCCCAGGGAAAGCCCGATGCAAATGATTTAAGAAAATCATTCTCTGCAGCAGCCAGAGTCACCGGCCCTGTTGACTGGCTAAATTCCTCTTCTTTCTACCCTATTCGGAAACCATGGCAACCTGGGAGCCGCTGGGGGGGAGAAGCCGCGAGTGGGAGGAGCCGGTGAGTGGGCGGGGCCTTGGGTGGGCAGGGCCTCTGCGCCAGCGTGATACATGTGACATAATACCCAGTACGGAGCACTGCATTCTGGGATGCAGCTTTGACCAATGAGATGCAGCTACGTCACAAAGGGCGCCGGTCTCCTGCGGGCTGGCCTCGCGGGGCGTTCGGGCTTGTGCCCCGGGCCTGCTAGCCGCACTGCTTGCCGTGCCCCGCTGTCCAGCATGGTGGACTACTACGAGGTGCTGGGCGTGCCCCGCCAGGCCTCGTCCGAGGTCATCAAGAAGGCGTACCGGAAGCTGGCGCTCAAGTGGCACCCCGACAAAAACCCCGAGAACAAGGAGGAAGCGGAGAGGAGATTCAAACAAGTGGCCCAGGCGTACGAGGTGTTGTCAGACGCCAAGAAAAGGGACGTCTATGACCGATACGGCGAGGCAGGGGTGGACGAGGGCGGGGGCAGGGGCGGGCTCTTCGAGGACCCCTTCGAGTACGTCTTCACCTTCCGCGACCCGGCCGAGGTCTTCAGGGAGTTCTTCGGTGGCCAGGACCCATTTTCGTTTGACTTTTTCGGAGACCCGCTTGAGAACATTTTTGGGGGTCGGAGGAACGCCCAGGGAAGCAGAAGCAGAGGGTCCACAAACCTTTTCTCCTCCTTCAGTGAGTTTCCAATGTTTGGGGGTGCTTTTTCTTCTTTTGATGCAGGATTTCCTTCCTTTGGTTCCCTGGGGAATGGAGGCCTTTCTTCCTTCTCCATGTCCTGTGGTAGTGGCGGGGCGGGCAACTTCACATCTTTGTCGACTTCCACCGAAATAGTGAATGGCAAAAAAATCACCACCAAGAGAATCATTGAGAATGGCCAAGAAAGGGTGGAAGTGGAAGAAGACGGAGAGTTAAAGTCCCTGGTGATCAATGGCAAAGAGCAGTTGCTGCACATTGCCACCAAGTAATTCCGGTCCGCGTTCAACTTCAAGCACATTTGAGGAAGAACAGGGCTTTTTTTTCTCTTGGAAGATTACAAGGGAACTCTACTTTCAGAACACCTGTTCTCAAGAATTTATAAACAGTTCATGCCAACGCCTTTTGTTGTTGTTGGGACCCCAGGAATAGGACCTCTGCTCATCTTTAAAAAAAAAAAAAAAATTGTAAATATCTGGATGCATTTTGCTATTTATTAAACGTAACCCCAAGGCAGGCAGTGAGTACTCCACAGTAGTAGAAAAAAATGTTCACCACAGCACCGGAAATCTTGCCTTCCCATTTTGTTTGAAATGTAAGCCAAGTGGTTTGCTCTGAGGTTAACATTGCCAGGATAAATCATTTTACTTCATTTTTTAGCATGGGGTGGTAGAAGATATAGATATATTAATAGTATCTCTGGCTTAAATTAAAGATGGTTTTTAGTTCCGTGTAAATGCTGGTGATGTAGTAAAAATTGACTGTTTAAATATAATGTTAAGCCTAGGCTTTTTAAAAGCAGGTAAACCTGGCGTGAGTGGGTGTATTAGTCACCTCTAGCTGCTGTAATAAGTTACCAGGAACTTGGTAGCTTAAAACAATTCACATTTATTCTCTTAGATATCTGGAAGTCAGAAGTCTGAAATCAATTACAATGGACTGAGGTCAGTGTTAGCAGGAGCATGTTCCCTCCGATGGCGTGGGCAAAATACTTCAGTGAATTCCTCCCAGTTACATGGTGGGTTAATAGCATCCTTAGGACTGTATTCAAGTCCTTGACTGAAGCAATAAAAAAAAAAATGTAGTGATGAGTCAAAAGCCCAATGCCAGCTGCTAGCCTGTACCAAACTTGGTTCTACAACTATGATTGACGGAAATGTGAAAAGCATTTCTGTAAGCTGCACAGAACTATCCCCTTGCCATATGCAGGATGTATCTCAGTACAAACTAGGTTGACAGAAGCCAGGAATATTGGAAAGCTTGGGATATTGATTGGGTGAGGCAGCATACACACATCTGAGAGGACAGTTTTCTGTTGGCACAGTTTATGTCCCCAAAGAAAACCTTTTTGGGCATGGTTGCCTTGGGATACTCCATCACAAAGTGTGCCATCCTCCTTGGTCACCTGCAAGGAAAGGTTTGTGTTAGGCACGGGAGCAGAGAGGTGACTGAACTGGACAGACTGAAAACGCAGCATCTTCTTAATTCTTTACGGAAAGGTCATGTGGCCTGAGCATATTGTGACAAACTAGGAATATGTGAGATTGTGTTTAGATGCTCTTTGGTGCCCTTGAAGTCCAATCCCCACGGAATGACACACAAACAATCACAGCAGGAACATAGGGTTCAGCCACCACTACCCCACAGGGGCACACAGAGTCTGTTAAACCACATCAAATAGTCACTGAGGAACCTGGGCAGTGCTGCCTCTACACTGACTGTACGAGGAGTGTCAGAATAATCAGACTACAGGGCTTTCCCAAAAATGTGTTTGGGCCAGCCTGGTGGCACAGCAGTTAAGTGCTTACATTCTGCTTCGGCAGCCTGGGGTTCGCCAGTTCGGATCCCAAGTGTGGACATGGCACCACTTGTCAAGCCATGCTGTGGCAGCATCCCACATATAAAGTAGAGGAAGATGGGCACGGATGTTCGTTCAGGGTCACTCTTCCGCAGCAAAAAGAGGAGGATTGGCAGCAGATGTTAGCTCAGGGCTAATCTTCCTCAAAAAATAAATAAAAATTTTTAAGAAAAACATAAAAAATGAGTTCAATTGCTTGCCAGGCAAGGGAACTCACAGCAGTGAAGACATTCATGGTTGGGGGGAGGGGCAGAGCAGCAGGGGGAGAAGGGATGTCAGGGGTTTTGAAGCAACAGGGAAGGGGTGCACAGTTTCAGCATCCTTATGCTAATTAAAGGTTGACAATTACCACTCTAGATAGGACAGAATATGTATTTGTATCTATTTAACTGGTTAAAACAAGTCCCCATTCAGTGGTCGTGAAAGTCTTCAGTTGGGTCCAGTAAGAGTCTGGCATATCAAGGTCCCTTAAAGATCATGGATCTTTAACAGCTCTGATCAATTACAATAGTAGAGGACAAACATAGTATTCAGTTTGGGAATATCCTGGATTAGTGCTACTAAGTGGAAAGTTTCCCTTTTACGGAAATATAAAGCATTTTATTTAAAGAATTTTCAAAACTGAAAATGTCATTTTTAAAGACTGGCACCTGAGCTAACATCTGTTGCCAATCTTCTTTTCTTTCCTCCTCCTTCTCCCCGAATCCCCCCAGTACACAGTTGTACACTGTAGTTGTAGGTCCTTCCGGTTGTGCTGTGTGGGACGCCGCCACAGCTTGGCCTGATGAGCGGTGCTAGATCTGCACCCAGGTTCTGAACCGGCAAAACCCTGGGCTGCTGGAGTGAAGCACGCAAACTTAACCACTTGGCCATGGGGCCGGCCCCAAAAATCTCTTTTTTAAAATGTCCTGGTACAAAAACATCACAATGCTGGAGGCCTGTATCTCAATTTTCCTTTTATAGAAAGGTTTGAGTGGGCTTTCAGAGTGGAAAAAAAGGCATTTCCTCTGGTACAAAGATGACCATCTCGAGTCCCCTGCGTGGAATCACTAGCACCTTCCCACAGAACACACCAGGCGGGGAGAGGCACGTTCCGGTTAGCCCCAAGAGACCTGGAGACCTGTGGCGATCTCGGCAGAATCCAAATAGCAAGCAGAACACATCCCCTGGCTGGAGCTCCACACAGAGCTGTTTTTAGTTCAGCTTACTTCACACAAGGGAAAACATCTGGAAGAGAGAATGCTCTCTTCAAATAACCATTAAAGGACCAGGCTTCTCCCCTGCGATTGCACTCTTCTGTCTCCAAACAGAGAGAGAGACCATCCCCATCTTGGGAAACCATTCACCTGACCGCTTACCTCTACAGGAATCCCTAATTCTACTTTCTCATCCTACTTTGTCAATAAACACAGATCCCTTTCATTTCCTCTTCTCCTTCTCTCCTTTACACTCTTTCAGTATAATTTCAGTTACCAGCAATCAGCATCACTTCAATTACCAGCAATCTGGTAAGACTATCCACTATGGGAAGCAATCACTGCCCTCTTTACTCGACTAATCTATTCTACATCTTTATCCCACTCAGCTGAATTTTAGACTTTTAGTAATTTATAAAATCTTCCTCCTATTAACGCACAACTTGTAGTATACCCAATCAGAAATCAGCTTTGTTAAAGCGGAGTTCTCTAAGGAAAGCTCCTTATTTGATTTTTTTCCACTTAGTGAATGAGAATATTTATGTGAAATCAGGGAGAGCACTTCATTTGAGGTGTATATATTGGACAAAATTCAGAGGAATTCTTTACCTTGGAACGTTGTGAAAACAAAATTATTTGTTAAAATGAGTATATTCATGTCTTGGGGGGCACAGTAAGTAACTTGAAGGAAGCAAAAAAGTGAATTTTTAAAAATGCACATTGAAAGCCATAAACTCACAACTGATAAGGGAGAAAGTAAAATCAGTGCTATAAACACGCTCTTCAGAGATGCTCTCCCAGAATACAGCAGAAAAGCAGAGGAGAGAAAGTTGAAGAGTAAGATGATAGCAACAGAGCTTGCAAAATAGAAATCTATGGATGACAGATATTCCCAAAGAAGAAACCAGGACAAAAACGTCAATAACTTAAATAGAGGAAAACTTTCAAGTTTTCAATAAGATCTGGGTTTGACTTTTGGCTTACCTATGTGTGTGGTAGGCAGAAAAATGGCACTGAACAGATGTCCACATCCTATCCCCTGGAACCTGCAAATACATTACCTCATGTGGCAAAAGGGACTTTGCAGATATGATTAAATTAAGGATCTTGATATGGGAGATTATCTTGGATTATCTGTGTGAGCTCAGTGTTATCACAAGGATCCTTATCAACAAAAGAGGGAGGCAGGAGAGTCAAAGATTTGAAGGTGCTATCCTGCACTTACATGGAAACGGAAAAGTGCCAGAAAATTCCCAAATTAACAAAAAAACTTGTTTAAAAAAAAGGAAAAGGAGGGGCCCTCCTGGCGGCGCAGCAGTTAAGTTTGCACATTCCGCTTCACAGCGGCCTGGGGTTCACCGGTTCGGACCCCCGGTGCAGACATGGCACTGCTCTGCACGCCATAGTAGGCATCCCACATATAAAGTAGAGGAAGATGGGCATGGATATGTTAGCTCAGGGCCAGTCTTCCTCAGCAAAAAGAGGAGGATTGGCAGGAGATGTTAGCTCAGGGCTAATCTTCCTCCAAAAAAAGGGAAAAGGAAATAATAATGTAAAAAATAATGAGCTTACACTAAATAGAAGGAGTAAAATTGAATATATACATTGTGTGAATGGACAGAATTCTTACAGCAATAGAAACCATCTGAATGGAGTTATGTAAAAACTCTTTAAGGAAACTTTTTTATAAAGTTTTTTTTTTTACATTGGCCCTGAGCTAACATCTGTCACCAATCTTTTTTTTTCTTCTTCTTCTCCCTAAAGCCCCCCAGTACATAGTTGTATATTCTAGTTGTAGGTCCTTCTAGTTCTACTATGTGGGAGGCTGCCACAGCATGGCTTGATGAGGGGTGCTAGGTCTGACCCCAGGATCTGAACCGGCAAAACCCTGGGCTGCCAAAGCAGAGCCCATGAACTTAACCACTCAGCCGTGAGGCTGGCCCCTGTAAAGTTTTTGTAAGTTAAAAGTAAAGAGAGAGACTTCACATGTATGGTCAAATGGTTTTTGGCAAGGGTGCCAAGACGATTCAACGGGGGAAAGGACAATCTTTTCAACAAATGGTGCTGGGGAAACTATATATCCACATGCAAAAGAATGAAGTAGGACCCTTACCTAACACCATATACAAAAATTAACTCAAAATAGATCAAAGACCTAAATGTAAGATCTCAAACTATAAAACTCCTAGAAGGAAACATAGGACAAAGCTTCATGACATTGGATTTTGCAATGATTTCTTGAATGTCACACCAAATTCACAGGTAATAAAAAAAATGGACAAATTGGACTTCACGAAAATTTGTGCAATACAGTAATGTGGTAATCCACAGAATGAGAGAAAACATTTGCAAATCATATATCTGATAAGGGATTAATATCCAAAGTGTATAGAGAACTCCTAAAACTCAACAACAAAGAAGCTTGATTCAAAGACAGGCAAAGGACTGGAATAGACATTTCACCAAAGAAGATATACAAATGGCCAATAAGCACATGAAAAGATGATCAACATCACTAGTCATTAAGGAAATGCAAATCAAAACTACAGTGAGATGCCACCTCACACCCATTAGGATGGCTACTATCAAAAACACAGAAAATAACAAGTGTTGGAGAGGATGTGGAGAAACTGGAACCCTTGTGCACCCTTGGTGGGAATGCAAAATAGTGCAGCCACTGTGG